TGTGATAGTCAAGCTGTTATTGGAAGGGCAAGGAATGTGCAGTTTATAACGGTAAGTCTGGACATATTCGTCGTAGACATAATACCATTAGAAAACTAATAAAAATGGGATCATCTCTCTTGACTATGTTAAGTCGAAAGAAAATATTGTGGATCTGCTAACCAAACCTCTACCGAGAGAGTTGGCCGAGATGTCAATGAGAGCGATGGGCCTATGGCCAATGATCTAATTAAAGTCCATGGGGAAACCCTACCTATTATTGAGAGTGCCTCATAATTAGGTTCAAAGGGAGGTACTAGACAAGATATAGTACACTCATGCCATGAGTATTTAGGGTAAGTTACGCTTTTAATGATCTCTATATCTTGATATGTTCAAGTAAGGTATGGCATGATACCTTCCATAGAGATCACCTATGCTGATGCAAGAAGGCCGCTTCTATGAGAGTTTATGGTACGAGATAAAACTTTGGTGCACGATAAACTCTCGAAAACAATAGCTGGACGAGGAGGTGTTCAAGGCCGAAACGAACACAAACGTGAGAACCAAAGATGCACCCGGGGCTCTGTGTGTTATTCATTGTGTAGGTTTACACAATGGTTTATGGTTCAAAGCAAAATGCTACCGATTGTCCAGTAAACCGATGGATATACACTAAGGTAGGTTCAAAGTTTCACGACTACCTAACCCTATGCAGAGTTCCCATCTTCCTCTGTCAAATCTTGTCTGTTATGTCTTAAGCCAATTTCTCATTCATGTGGGAGGATTGTTGGAAAAATGGTTTTACAAATGATATATTGTTTGTAGAAAATCATTTTGAAATGAATGAGAAATTGTGTCCTGAAATTCTCTTCGAAACAAGGTTTGTGTAGGACTTGTTCGGGGTCGCCACCGCCGGCGATTGGCTAGACAGGTCGGGTCGGATTTCGAGTACAGGTGGGTACTCGCGTGGCTTTAAGACTGAAACATTATTTTTTGTACAAATTATTTTCGGATAAAAGAAACTTTAAGAGAAGGATCGCTACCTTTTCTTAACAGACCCCTTTTGGGATTGTGTCTCCTGGCCAGAGCACTATAAATCCCATTAGGAGGCCTACGTTTTTGAATTGATACGAAGTCCAAAAAATGTTCAAAGTTTTTCTTAATCTTCCTCATCCATATTACACCACTTTAGTGCATCGTTTGGTTTGTCGGTATCCTTCGGGAACGAAAAACCGTTCTATCCTGGAAGGCGATTGCTACTTATGTTGTGGACAAATTCGTCTTAAAGAGACAATGATTCATTTGGTTCGGTTTCATTCAAGTAATTCTAGTTACTTTAATTTTATTTAATTAATGCATGCAGATTTATTTGATTTTTCATAACAGTTTTTTCCATGGTTACCTCGTTATGGATATTTGTAACCACCGCTAATTTACATGCAATTTAGGTATGTTTCTGGCCAAAATCCACATTCACGGCTCAGAATTAGTAGAAAAGTACTACGAAGTATGTACACTAATTTATACTCCGTACCTAGTATGACGAATCCTCCGTAACATACTCCGCTTGTTTGTAGGCCTGTCAATGGGTCGGGTCTAGACCCGAACCCGACCCGGATCCGTCTTTTTTTATTGGGTATGAGTCTATATTTTTTCCCGTTACCCGGACCCGGATCCAGACCCGTTATTAAATGGGTCGGGTATGGTATATGTGGTTCCGATCCGTTTAGGATCCGACCCGTTATATATACATATATATCGTATATATAATGTCGCCCACATTACTATTACGTACTTCGTATTATAGTAAAATCCTAATTCATTAGTATTACTCTTTCCCTTAAATCTCCGTACTACGTATCTTACAAGTTACTTCATACTCCGTATAAAGTAACTCACAAAGAAGTAGAGAAGGCAAATAGACTCAATAAAGTGATATCAACTTACCAAACTCCTTGAGATTTGTGATTTTGTAAAAGTTAATTAGATAGAACTTATTTGGGATTTTATTTTTCTATTATTATCATAGATTCAAAGAGACTATTTGGATAAACCTTATATTTTTGCAGAATTATGTTTATTCCGCTAGTGCACCTTACATGTTCAATTTTGAATGTGTAGATCTGGAATATTCATTTTTATATTGTTGCTTTGGGTTGAGTAATTACAAACATGTATTTACAGTGCGCCGTATTATTCCCAAAAAGACTTGGTAGTAAGAAGTCATGTTTTTTTATTTAAGAAATTGGACTTAAGATTCTTGTGAGATGGGTCGGGTCTACCCGACCCGGTTCTGATACCCGATGGGTTTAGGTCCAGAACATTAGTTCAAGACCCGCCGGGTATATAGGTCGGGTCCGGAACAATATAGAGGCTAGCGGGTCCGGGTCTGGAACACTATATTCCGGCCCGAACCCGACCCGTTGACAGGCCTACTTGTTTGGGATACAACTTTTACTAGTAACATTTTATAAGTCATAGCATGTACTCCGTATGTTATACGGAATATCATAGATAGCACGTACTAGATTGTAAGTAGTAATACTTTGTAATTTTCCCTAGCATTTGTCCAATTCTTAGCTACAGAATCTCATTATATCACAATTAGAATTGTTTCACTTATTTTTCATTCAAATACAATACTCTTGGGAACAAATGTTTATTTGCATTTAAATAAGCTCATCTACTATTTGACAAATGTTCATTCCATGATTTGAATAATGATGAGACCTTGTTTGGTGATCATGTTTTTTGACTTATTAATTAATTTTTTCATTAAATACATAATTTTTATTTCGTTCGTTTAGTTATATAATAATCAAAATACGTAAGGTTGAACTTACTTTTTGTGAAAGGATTGACTAAAGTTACTGTAGAGAATCATTTTAGCTATTTTTCATAACATGTACTCCATCCGTCCCACTTAAAGGTTCTCACGCGGTTTATGATTGACCATAAAGTTAACTGATCTTTGTCATTAATAAGATTATTTTAGTAAATAAAATTTACATATTCAGAAACTACATAAAAAGTTTTATAATACCTGATTAAGAAAATTTAAGTTTGATATATAAAGTAAAAGATTAAAAACAAATCAAGTTCATCAAAGAATAGTGGATGCGAACCTTTAAATGGGACGGAGGGAGTATAATTTTTTCTTTATTTTATTAAGAAAAATGAATATAATTTTTTATAATTCAATAAAATCAATCAATCTAGTTACTTCAGTTAGAATTTGATAAATCTCAACAGAATCAGCCGATTCAACTAATTCCAATATTATCGATCTCACCAACTCATATACTTTTTATATGTTTAGTACTATATCATTGTGACACATTTTTTGTGAGTTATTAAAAACGGTCAAACCTACTAAAGAGGTGATTTTGCAACTGAGATCTAAAACATGAATGAATGTCCAGGGCTCGAAAAAATTGTTTTGATATACGTAATAATTATTTTAAAAAATCGATATATTAAAATTGACCATAATACTATGATAGTAAGAGTTAGTCTGTTGTTTTCTGTAAAATTACATATTACATTACCTATGTTCCGGTCAACATTGCCAACTTAGAAGTGGATGAGAAATAAGAAAAATGAAAAATTGTGTATTTGAAATTTGTGCAGATAAAGGAGAAATGAGCAGAACTAAAAATTAGTATTATATGGAGTAGTTATATACTTTAATAAGAAAATGATAAAGTTTTTGGGACAACCACAAATAAAAAATGGCAGAATCCAATGGGACGGAGAAATACTAGCTTACAAATTCATCTCAATTTAATTTAAAGAGAATTCCAGTAAAAACGTTTTGGACAATCATGTTTTTTATTCTCTGAATATAGAAGATTTGCCAAATGGCAGATTACTCCTATTCAGATAATAAAAAACATGATAGTCCTATTTTGAAATTTCAAAACGTTTTTACAGTTATTTAGCGCAATTTATGTTGAATTTATTTTTGAAATATTACACACCTTAACGATATTCTCATGAATTAATATTACTACGCTCATTTTTACTCATGATAAAGTTAAGAAAAATCTGACATTAATTATAGAACTCAAGCCTAAAATTTTGACTCGGTGAATTCGAATACCATTACATATTCAACATTTCAACTAGGGGTGGGCAATTCGGTTTACGGTTCGGTTTTTCTTCGGTTTCGGTTCGGTTTCGGTTTATTCGGGTTGGGAGATTTTGTACCAAACTAAAACCATTTGTGTTTCGGTTTGGTTTCGGTTCGGATTCGGTTCGGTTCGATTTGAAGTTCGGTTTACCAAAGTAAAAAATATTATGTTTAATTTAGTTTGATTTGATTCGTTTGTTTATGTTTATTATTTTATACGATCAAGTTCTATATTTTAGAATTAGAAAATGAAAGTAGTAGTTCATCTCATCTTTTTTTAATTTATTGATTATTTAAATAAAATGTAAAAGGAAATAAAAGATAGAAAAATAAATAATAAAATATTATAAATTAAAACTTCTAACATCTTTTTTATCACTACAAAAAATTCACTTCTTACAAAAAATAAGATAGTTGATTAGCATTTGTAATATCACATAAAATATTCAAAAAACCTAAAAGAGTCGGTGGTACAAATGTTGTAATATTCACAATTTTATTCAAATGAATCATGTAAAAATATAAATGCAATTTGTTATTGTTATCGCCAAACATAATAAATACTCCGTACAAATATGTCGTATTAGCTAACTTTGTCATAATGAATGTATGAATGTTGTTTGGTGTTCGGTTCGGTTTACGATTTTTCCATTTTAAACCAAACCAAACCAAAGTACCAAACCATTCGGTTTGAGCAAATGTTTATCAAACGGTTTACTTAAGTAAACCTAAACCAAACCAAATCAAACCACCAATGTTAATAATATACTATGTATGAATTTTTTTTGAGTTTTTTTAGTTCGGTTCGGTTTAATACGGTTTGAAAGAAATAGTACCAAACTCAAACGAAATTGTATATGGTCCGGTTTCGGTCCGGTTTAGTTCAGTTTGATACGGTTCGGTTAAATCAAACCGTTATGCCCACGCCTAATTTCTAACATTTCAACGCATCATCAATAGCAAATCGGCAAGCTTAGTGAAAAAGAGAATATAAAACTATCATGATTCAAATAAACATTACATCCAAAATCACAAAACTAATCCAAAATTTGAAATTTCGAAGATGGATATTAATTAATTAATCATGTAGTTATGTGTATTTTGAATCTAACCAACGATCATTGTTGTTGACGCCAATTGGTCAACAGCTGCGACCCATGACGCTGCGCATCATGCCCTTGAACTCCGCGAAATCAACGACCCCATCGCGATTCTGATCGACGGACGATATCATCTCCTCCACTCTCCCGATCTCACCGCGCCCTTTCTCGATCAGCCCCAGCTTCCCGAGCACCGCCTCCAGCTCCCTCGCCGATATGAATCCGTCGCCGTCCTCATCGAACACCTTGAACGCCTCCTTCATCTCCGCCTCCTCCTGCGCTTTGCTGACGGCCTCCTCGCCGTATCCGCCGAAGAGCTCGTTGTCGAGCGATCGGTGGAGAGCCTCGAAGTCCTCGAAGGTGAGGCCGCCGCCGGCGCTTTTCGATTTGACGAAGGACTGGATCGTGGAGTCCAGATCGGAGAGATCGGTGTCCAATCCGAGAAGGTTGAGCGGCTTGTTGATCTCGTCGACGGTGATCAGTCCATCGCTGTTGCGATCGAACATGTCGAAGATGCGGCGGAGGCGGACGGAGTTCAGGCTGGGGCTACGGAGGCGGAAGGAGGTGGAGGAAGGGTCGGTGACGGCGTTGGTCTCGCATTGGGCTTGACTTGTTGCTCCCATGGCTATGGCGGAATCAAATGTTGACGAAGAACAGGCGAAAGTGAAATAGGAGAGGGAAATGAAATCGAAGATTGAATTGAGAATTTAAAGATTGGTGGGATGCCGCGCATTTGACTCCGTATAACGGGTACGCGTAAGTTGGAAAAAAAAGAGAAAAGGGGCAAATAAGGCCACATACTAACCCAAAAAGGTCAAATAAGGCCTTATTTAAGAGGCTCTATCCGGCAGTCGCCATTTGGGTTGGTTCCCGGTGGAATTTTTTGATGAATTTTTTTGAGCATCTTATTCAGTAAGTCTAGTTTACTCATACCAAATTTCAGCTAAATCTTCAATCGGGAAGACATTCAAATGAATTCTTGAAGATAACTGCACTTTTAACTGTGCAGTTATCTTCAAGAATTCATTTGAATGCCTTCCCAATTGAAGTTTTACCTTAAATTTGGTATGAGTAAACTAGACTTAATGAATAAGATGGTCAAAATATTTCATCAAAAAATTCCACCGAGAACCACCTCAAATGGCGAAGGCCGGACAGAACCTCATAAATAAGGTCTTATTTGACTTTTTTTGGTTAGTACGTGGTCTTATTTGCCCCTTTTCCCAAAAAAAAATTGAAGAAAGCGTCCGTTGAAAACTTGAAAACAAAGAAACAAAATTTGTAACTTCTAATGCCGTTTGGAAACACTTTTCGTCTTATCAGATTTATCAGACAACTTTCTTTTTCACTAAACTCGTAACTTTTACTTTCGCGCGCTGAGTTGTGTAATAAGCAGAAAAAGTAAGGTTGGAGTTACTTTTCTGGATGTATTGGCTGAAGTTACTGTAGATAGCTGAGTTGTGTAATAAGCCAACTATTTTAGCTTTTTTACATCTATTTTTTTATTTATTTTATTAATAAAATATATTTTAAAATTTTTTTCTTCTTAAATCAGCAGAATCAGCCAATGCAGCCACTTCAACCAGAACTTCATAAGTTTCAGCGGAATCAGTCAAAACAGCCGATTTTCGTTCTACCAAACGGGCTCCTAATACTCCCTCCGTCCCGTTGGGATGTTTCCGCTTTCCTTTTTTTGGATGTCCCAAAAAAAAGTTCTTCTTTCCCTAAATGGAAAGTTATCCTACATCAAAACAGTGTCAAACAGTGCCAAACAGTGTCCAAACAGTGTCGAAACAATAAAATTTATCCCCTGATAAGTTTATTTCCTTAATATGTGTGTAGGTCAAACCGGGAACATCCCAACGGTACGGAGGGAGTATTTGAAGATGTGAACCGATCTCATTTGAATTGTTTTGATTACATTTGATTTTTTATGATCTAATATGATTTGAATTTTTATGAACCTGAATATTTTCTATTTGATTGAAGGTATGTTATTACTCCGTATTATTGTTGTTGTTATTATTATTGCTCTATACTACGTATAACACAGTGTAAATATAAATATAGATTAAAAAATATAACATATTAAAATTGAAATATAACATATATATAATACAAAATAAAATAGAAATACAAAATAAAAAATATAAAAATATAAAATATAACATAGATGTAAAATTGAAAACCTAAGATCTATAAACTGTATATAATTGAAAATATTAAATACCCCAAAAAATAAAAATAAAAATTGAAATATAAAAATATAAAATATAAAAAAGGTATGATATAGAAAATAAAATGTATAAAATAAAATTTTAAATGTAAAAATATACATATAAAGTGTATTTTTTCTTTTTATATTTTTACATTAATATTTTGAGTTAAATGCAAAACATAAATATATTTATATATATTTTTATTGTATATATTTATAATCTATGTTAATATTCTAATTTTCTATTTTTTCTATTTTTATTTTGAATTTATTCTTGTGTTAAAACTTTTATAAAGTTGAGGGTTGAATTGAACCACCGAAATGAGTTCATAGATCTATTTGAACTCTAAGGAGGTGTTTACTCTAAGGAGGTGTTTACTTCCACATCACATGCACAATTAAAATTCGGAAATTCGGCGAATTAGCCCTCTGTGATTTAAAAAATACGTCAAACCCCCTTGTGTTTTAATTAATCATGTGCCAAATCCCTTATGTGAACAAATTCAATTGTCAAATAAAAGAAAAATGATTAACATTTTTGTATGATTCAGATATTTTGACATATTTATTTGCATATTCAATCAAAATATTAGGAAAAATGATTTTCAAATCGTTAAATTTATTCGTAAAGGGGGTTCTGTGCATGATTAATTAAAACACAAGGGGTTTTGACGCATTTTTTAAATCACAGGGGCTAATGCGCCGAATTTCCAAATCACAGGGAGATTTGGTGCATTAAACCCCACAATTGACACTCAACAAGTGACGTCACGATTAACCAGATATTATCTGTAAAATAAAATTTGAAATTTTATAAAGTATAAAGTGCGAATTGAAACTTTTTTTTTTCACTTGAAGGCTGAATTGAACAAACATGCCTGAAACTTGAACCTATTTGACTCTTTAATCTGAAAAATGTCAATAATTAACGACTACGGAGTGCTCCGTATTATATTTCGGTTGGTGCACATCATAAAATCCAATAAATAAACTTATTATTTGGTTTAAGATGCTCTGTAGAGCTCACTGAATGAACTGACAAAATCTGGCAAAAAAATATTGCTGTTCAATTTCAACTACTTATATAGTTATATTAGGATAAGAAAGTTGTTGGAATTTTTTGTACAATATTCATATCATATCATTTGAATCTGGATATTATATTATACGTATTCGTGTAATGCGTTGTAAACTTTTCCTTCCAACTGTTTGAGCTGAGTCCCTTTTATTAATAGTTTTATAGTTGGTCTTAGAATAACATGTTTAAGACGTAGTATTACGTCGCTCATAAATACATCACAATATGACATATTGACATGTAACGCATTGTTATCAACGTAATCCGTGGACCGTGGTATATCAAGTAATACTATGTTAAATTTTACAAAAAATATTATGTAGCTTGCTCCTTTAGACTTGATATAAGAGTTTATGGTTTGCTGGTAGGGCGAAGTCTATAAGTACGGAAGATGTAAGAAAGGTAAGAAAGGAGTGGAGTAAGGATGATGTTTTACTTGGACAGATCAGACCAGACTAGACCAGACTTTCATAGTTATAAAATACACGAAAACCGGACATTTGCTAGACTGGACCAGACCAGTTCGGACTAGAGCAGCAAATTTCAATCCAACTAAAAACATCCTAAACCCAATATGGGTTGGGTCAAAGTCAATGCGGATGCAGTTGCAAATGAACAACACGGGACAAAAGTTTGGGGTTGGGTGGGCGGATGGCTAGGGGTGGTAATTGAAATCTTATTCCCTTTTGAAATGAGAGCTTTGAGAATAAGAGAAGCTTTTTTATGTGCAAGAGGGAAGGATCGATCACGAGACAGACTCAAAAATGTGTTTCCCAGGATATCTGACACCTTTTAAAAGAAAATGTTGATTTAAGAATTAACTGGTTCAGACGACCTTCGAATAATTAAAATTATTTTTTCACTGATAAAAAATAACTATATAAGTTTGGACCCTTTGTCAATTAAACTAAGTGAGACGTTGTCACCGTGGAATTAGTCTTACTTAGATGTCAATAAACAGTTGTCAAAAAAAAAAAATAGAAGTAACGTCTAGATAGTCTTGCCTTAGTCCATATTTCATTTGACAAGCGAGCATAAAAAAAACTTGTATCATTAAATAGGTTATGTCGAATTATTAAACATTTATATTATACTAGATTTACTATCACAACACATTGTTGAAGACCACTTACATTTGCGACTAACTCGGTAACTCGTTCGTGTATGTGTGATACCTATGGTCAGTTGAGACTAACTAGTTAGAATTCATTGAGCCAGCCGACAAGTTTGAACATCAATATTGATCTTAACTTATCATAACTCATAAGTATTTCCTACATACAGTTTTGATTTTTGATCACAATGTGAGTGAGAGCCGTAGACAATATAGGCGAAAAGATTTGTGACTTCTGCCTAGGGTTGGATTCGGGCCAGGTCTAGGCCCGGGCGGGCCGCCGGTTTTGAATAGGTGGGCCTTGGACCGGCCCGGGTCCGATCCGGCCCAGGCCTCGGGTCAATTTTTGTTTTTTTTTCCTTTTCCTAATTAACCCCCCCCCCTCACACCCAACCTCCCAAACCACCCCAAATGGCACAAAATACCCAGCCCAACCCGAAAAGTTAAAAAAAATTGGAAAAAAATTAAAAAGCCCGGAACCAGGCCCGAACCGGTCGGGCCGGTTCGGCTTTTGGGTGACCCGAGCCCGCACCGGGAACCCCCCAGGCCGGGCCTACCCGGACCGGTCACTGGCCAGGCCACCGGACCGGGCCGGTTCAGCACAGTACCAGTCCCGGGCCGGTTCCGGGTCGGGCCACCCGGCCCGAGTCCATGACTGCTTCTGCCTAAAGTCCAACCACAAGTTAGGGATGGACTCGGGCCGGGCGGCCCGACCCGGAACCGGCCCGGCCCAGCCCGGTCACTGTTTGAACCGGCCCGACCCGGCCCGGCGGCCCAGCCCATGGGCGGTTCAGGTCGACCCGGGCCGGTGGCTACTGGTTCCGGGCCCGGGCCTTCATTTTGGTGAACCGGCCCAGCCCGTTCGGGCCCGGTCCGGGCCGGATTTAATTTTTTTTTTTTTTTGAATTTTTTTTAAGTTTTTGGGTTGGATTGGTTATTTTGGGCCATTTGAGGTGGTTTGGGATGGTTTGGGGTTGAGGGGGAGGGTAGGAGGTTGATTAGAAAAACCCAAAAAAAAGTATATAGAACCGGGCCCGGCCCGGCCCGAACCGGACCCGGGGTTACCCGGCCCGGCCCGAACCGGACCCGGGGTTACCCGGGCCGGTTCTGGGCCTCCCCTACCTTGAACCGAGGCCCGGCCGGTTCAAGGCCCGAACCGGGCCCGGCCCGGAACCGGTCCACCACTACCACAAGTCCACAACCAATTCAGCTACAGCCGTAACATGCTTCACTAATACAGAGTAATTCTTCCTAGGGGTGGTTCGGTACGGTATACCGAATATTTTATCG